GTAATTTTTTTAAAAAGATTTTATTTATTTATTTGACAGAGAGAGAGAGATCACAAGTAGGCAGAGAGGCAGGCACAGAGAGAGGGGGAGGCAGGCTCCCTGCTGAGCAGAGAGCCTGATGCGGGGCTCAATCCCAGGACCCTGAGGTCACAACCTGAGCTAAAGGCAGAGGCTTAACCCACTGAGCCACCCAGGCGCCCCTCGTTTTTGTAATTTTTAAGTATGTTCTTAATATTTTTTTAAAGATTTTATTTATTTATTTGATAGGCAGAGATCACAAGTAGGCAGAGAGGCAGGCAGAGAGAGAGGAGGAAGCAGGCTCCCTGCTGAGCAGAGAGCCTGATGCGGGGCTCCATCCCAGAATGCTGGGATCATGACCTGAGCTGAAGGCAGGGGCTTAACCCACTGAGCACCCAGGCACCGCATGTTCTTAATATTTTAAAAATACAGTCATATACATACAGATAAATGGATATTAATTATGCTCCTTTATTAGGAAAATATTGCTAAGTGCACACAATATTCTGACACTTTCTATTTTTTACTTAATTGTATGTCCTGGAAATGCAGCAGTCAAAAGAACTTTAGTCATGGCTGCCTAGTGCCCCATTGTGAAAATGCACTATGATTCCTTCAGTATCCTACTGACATACATTGGGTTGGCTCCAATTTTTGTTATTAGAACTAGTCCTGCAAAAAATTGTCTTGCGCCTATGAAAGGCATGTCTAAATACTCATATTGAGTTGAGAAATTATGTGATCAAAGATGTTGTCTTGGTGTATTGAGAGTAACAAAATTTTCTACTTTAGTCTCCAGATTCCTGTGATTCAAAATAAAAACAGCCACAGTATACCCTTTAAACTGATGAAATGGTTTCCACTGACTTAAACTTGGGTATTATTTTCCTCACTCAGGCTGGACTTGGGAGCCTTGGGAGCGCCTCACTTCTTTGTCTTTCTATCTTTACCGCACTCACAAGGCGCATGTTGAGGCCCACAGACTTGATTCTCATCAGGGCAGTCACAGCTGACACTGTGGTTCTTTTTTCTTTTCTTTTTTTTAAGATTTTATTTGTTTACTTGACAGAGAGCACAAGTAGGCAGAGAGAGAGAGGAGGAAACAGGCTCCCTGCTGAGCAGAGAGCCTGATGTGGGGCTCGATCCCAGGACCCTGGGGTCATGACCTGAGTCGAAGGCAGAGGCTTTAACCCACTGAGCCACCCAGGCGCCCCAGCCGTGGGTCTTTTGAATGACAGGATCCCTCAGACAATGGCAGCATTTGGGATGGAATCTTTCCTGGATGAAGCTGGACATGGGCTGGTCTTCTGTTCTCACCGAGTGGCCAGAAGGGTTTCTCTCGGCACCACCTTTCTCCGCAGCGGCTTCCAGGCCAGTAAGCTCAATGCTAACACCTCCATGTGGTCAGCTCAGGGTGCAATCCTGAAAGTGCACTGGCTTTTGCTGTTTCCTCTGCTGGATCCTGCATCTCCTGTTAAATATCTTTACTGCTTTGCATGTTACTGAACCAAGAAAGAGAAAAAACATGAGTATGGAAAAAACATACGAATACTGTAATTCACCCATTCCGATCAAATCTGTAGTCTTACTCCATGCGGTCATGTTCTCCTTCATTATGTCACTTGTTTGGGCCTCGTGGCCTGGTCTCCTGGCTCCATCGTCCTTGTCCTGCTCAGGCACAAGCAGCGAGTCCAATACATTCACAGCAACAACCCTTTCTCTAGACCTTCCCACGAGGCTAGAGCCACACGGACTGTCCTGGTCCTGGTGAGCATGTTCATCTCCTTTTATTTCCTCTCTTCCATTTTGTCTTCGTGCATAGCACTTACTGTGAACCCAAGCCACTGGTTGACGAATACCTGTGCGCTGGCATCTTCTGGCTTCCTGGCATTCAGCCCCTTCGTGCTCCTTGCGCGTGACACCTGCACCTCCCGATTTTCTGCTTTCTGGGGAAGGAAGTGATTTTTCCAAGTATGGTCTCTAGACGGTAAGTTCCTTATAGGGCATCCTATAATTTAGTTAAGTATTATTTGATCATATTGTGTGTGTGTATTTACACATAAAACACTCATGTTTTCTGCCAGATGATCTATTATCCCATAGGGATCAGTATGGAATAAGCAAAAATAACCTTGGCCTCATATTGTGTATATGATTGTCCAAAATGAACATGGTGTGAATATGACAATGACTTTCTAAAATTGCATCTGCTATTCATTGGAGAATATCAGGCAATAAGATAATGACCTAGGGGAGATTTTCAGCTTTCGGGAGTTCGGGAGTGGAAACTCACTGTTGATTCAACTCTGAAGTGACATCCAAAAGATTTACTGCATTGTTAAATCCTATTGGGTGAAAAATGTTTCAAGGGAACAGAAAATGACAGGGGAATATCCTAAATTGGTACAACACAGGTGGACTTCAAAGAGTGAAAAGAAGGGCGCCTGGGAGGCTCAGTTGTTAAGCATCTGCCTTTGGCTCAGGTCATGATCCCAGGATCCTGGGACTGAGTCTTGCATCAGGCTCCCTGCTCAGCAGGGAGCCTGCTTCTCCTTCTCCCACTCCCCCTGGTTGTGTTCCCTCTCTCACTCTGTCTCCCTCTGTCAAAAAAAAAAAAAAGAGTGAAAAGAAGTTCATGATGTTTAGCAGAGTATGTGGCATACAATGTGGCGAGGCGGGCAAGTAGGTGATATCTTCTGGCAGGTGATGGAGGTCATGTCAATGATCAAAACCTTTCATAGGAAAGATCATGGGTCGCTGAGAATTTTTGTCCAGTGAAATAATCAAAACTGTGATAAAAAATAAAAAATAATTTAATTAAAATAAAATTTAGTACACATTATAATTTAGCCTTCTTTGACCTTACTTTACAATATTTTTTCATTTAAAAAATAGGTGGTAGGGACGCCTGGGTGGCTCAGTTGGTTGGACGACTGCCTTCGGCTCAGGTCATGATCCCGGGGTCCCGGGATCGAGTCCCACATCGGGCTCCCAGCTCCATGGGGAGTCTGCTTCTCCCTCTGACCTTCTCCTCCCTCATGCTCTCTCTCACTGTCTCACTCTCAAATAAATAAATAAATAAAATCTTTAAAAAAAAAATAGGTGGTAAAATAATGCACTTCCAGTTTAGCAATATTTAAGGGTCAAAGCTAAGAAAGAGTCTCTCCTTGACCAAACTTTAGCCAGGTTCCTATCAGGAATCCTATTCACAACTAGACCTCAACATTTGGACTTCTGCGCCCATCTTTGCATTGCCCAGTTTTAACAAGAATCCTATTAAGTTGCTTTAGCCAGAAACCATCCCTGCTTAATAGCTGATAACCCTTGATATCTGATCAAATTGCTCATCCTACCATCCCCCAGATGGTACTGATCACCTTTGCCTGCTTTCAGCAAGAATCCCCCTGACCCCTGAAGTTTTTTCTCAGTACTTTTCCATCCACTGACTCCCACACTGCCTCTTGGCTATGAACCCCTAGTTGTTTATGCTCTATTTGGAGTTGAGCCAAGTTCTGTACTGGGATCTCTATTCCACTATTACAACAGTTCCTGATTAAAAGCTGGTTTTGCGGGGCGCCTGGGTGGCTCAGTGGCTTAGGGCCTCTGCCTTCGGCTCAGGTCATGATCTCAGGGTCCTGGGATCGAGCCCCGCATCGGGCTCCGGGCTCCATGGGGAGTCTGCTTCCTCCTCTCTCTCTCTCTCTCTGCCTGCTTCTCTGCCTACTTGTGATCTGTCAAATAAATAAATAAAATCTTAAAAAAAAAAGCTGTTTTTGCTCTTTTACCTACTGTTCAGCTCTGGTTTTCTTTAATAGATCATGAATGTTATCATTCTTTATGAAGTAATACTGAGTTTTAGAAAAATTTTTTAGTTGTTGGTACTTAAAGGAATCCCAATTCAGACACTGTCCCGTAATTGCAAGTGAAGTGAAAATCACTTCCTAGCAAAGAAATAAGATCATGATGCTCTAAATTTTTATTTGTGGGTCAGATGGTCCCCTTTGCACATTTACTGCCACCAGCCCTGCCACATCAAAAAGCATTTATAATGGCCCTTTTCAGATGGGCGGCATATTCCTAGAGGGAAATCAGTATATCTCAGCTTTAGGCTGAGGAGCGTTTGAATTACAGGATGTTGCACCCTGGCTGGCCACCATCAGCGCCCCCACCGGCAGGAAAGTGCCTTCGTTGGCAGATTAACCCTTCCCAGAGTCCGCCCTGGCCCTCTCCGCTGACCTGACCTCTGATCCTGGGTCCCTGACCAAGCCAAAGAGCCCAAACCGACTTAAAGCTTCAATCTACATGGATCTAAAAACCAGCAAGGAAATACGAGTGGACTGTGAGTGGACACAAGATGATATTGCACATGATGTGTCCGTGTGGTTTTGTGGCTTTGGGGAATATCTACAAGAACGCTCCCACACTCTTCGGGTACCCACCCCCAGCGGACTACAAGGTACAGAACCAGGGCGCGGGCTCTTTCAGAGGGCCAAAGCCCCGCCCCGTCCGTTGAGCCTGGAGGCACCATTTCCCAGCGTCCCTCGCGGGAGCACGCTGCCCAGCCCCAGCCCCTGCGGGGAGAACTCCGACGGTCACTAGGGCCGATTCCTCAGGGAAACTACAGTAACCAGAAGTCTCTGCGCAGCACGGAGGCGGCACCATTAAGAACGCGCACAAGCCGTCTGGGCGGGACTTCCGGCGTCTTCCTCGCGGCGGACATTTTGTTCACTCCTAGTGGAGCTCTCGGAGTGGAGCTTTGGGAACGCCAGTACGGTTCAGAGTGACCGAAGCGGAAAGGCACGGGAGGAGACCCTGTGTCCATTGCAGAAAGGCTCGGGGGTGGCAGTGCGCGCGAAGGCTCCGCGGCCAGGGCCAGCCCACGGCGGCGCGTGGGTCCCGACCTGGGACTCCTCACGGGTCCCTGTCGTCCAGATTGTGATGGCGGCGGCCGCGGTGATGGATCCCGCGTAGGTGGGTACTTTGTTCCCCGGCCCCTGAGGCATTTCGGTCCTTCACTCTGAATCACGAAGCCACGAACGAGGGGCGCCTGTTGAGGTCGTTGCAGCTCCGGCTCCGGTGTTCTGGGCCGTGGGGGCGTTGGTGTGGGGAGCCCCTTCCTAGCAGCCGGTGCGGTGAGCCGTCGAAGTGTCCCTGGGCGACCGAAGATCATGAGCAAAGGCTTGGAGGCGCTGCTGAGCCGGAGGACTCCGGAAACCGGGCCCTGGGGTTTGCAGGGAGCCTAGAGGGCGAGCGGCGGCCCTGCGTGGAAAGGCTGCGTGAGCCGAGGGTGCTCTCGCGGCGGACCGCTGGGAGCCGTGGGGGAGCATGATGTGAGCTGGCTCGGGCAGGTGGGTCGCGGCGGGCTGGCTGACGGGCGAGGAGGCCGCCGACTCCCGGAGTGTTGTGGCTGCACCAGAGCTGCGGCGGGAGGTGGGAATTGGAGAAGGGGATGTTAGAGGTGAAACCGACGGGATTCTTGCCGTGTCGGGTAACGGCGGTGCGGGAAGACCGAGTGGAGGGCCGGAGCAGTTTGTGTCCCGGGGAATGCATTTTGGACGTTGTAAAGCTCCTCTCGGAGAGGAGGTGGCCCATGGGCATCTGGCCGTGCGTCAGGGATTCTGGCGGGGGCTGTGTTGGAGACCACTGAGGGATGAGGCCCCAGGTCGAAGCCTGGAGGTGAGATGCCCAGGAAAGATATTAACGGTGTTTTTACAAAACTCAGGTGATTCTTGAGGCGAGAGATTGGAGGGCGGGGGAAGGGGGTCATTCTTCATCCCCTCCAGAGGGAAGCATGGGAAGGAGTTCTGGCTGGTCTCCGCGGGAGGAGAGGGCCGTGGGGTGTAAGGAGCCCGGCCTGAGCCGCAGAGGCAGGCGTGACGTGCTGTCGGTTTGCCGTTCCGTGGACTCAGCAGCGGCACGGCCTGTGGAGGAGACGAAAAGCCAGCCTCAGCCGGATCCAGGGCCCTGGTACCCGGTTCCTCAGCTCTCGGGCGAGCAGAGATCATGGGCATCTCTCATGAGGGGCCACCAGCAGGCTCACCTTCGGGGGTGTGTACCAGGTAGGCTGGTTTGGTGACGGGACTAATGCGCACTTGGCAGGTGTACAGGCCATTAAGATTTTTAGATGGATAGATATGATAAATTTATACTGACGATGCTTAGTAATGGGTTGACGTGCTTGTCTCTGAGTGTTTAATTAAGGTGGAAGTCTTAAATACCACGTTTTCATAGAAGATTAAAAATAAATCCTAAATATCAAAAACCTATCCCTTCATTTGCTCCAAAACCATTTGGAAAAATGTGAAGCTTGTGGACAGTAAAAGCTAATTCAAGGATCCTTGCTTGTACTAACGGTGTTTGATACGAGCAGTAGCCCTGTTAGGTGGGTGCCACTGTTAGCCCTGCTTTACAGAGGAGGACACTGCAGCACGTCTGTTCATGGACGCCCATCTCATGGGAGGCAGCACTAAGGTCTTAACATCTGACATTAGACTTTCCGAAATCATCCTCACCAAAGGGCAGGGCAGGAGTTAGGGCCATAGTTCAGTCCCCAGTACCCCACTCTGGTAACCTGCCACTCTCAACTCCTCCTCTTTGCCAGGTTGCCCTGATGGTAGAAGCACTGGGGATCTCTGTATAGGTGAGTGCAGAGCATGCAGGTCCGCATTCATCACTCCCCACTTGGCCATGATCTTGGCAACCCCAGATGGCAGATGGTGGTGTCTTAGGACTCTTTACCTACCCTTACACTTGATGTTGAGTTTGGGGATGCCGGTGTCACTAACGTTCTTTTGCCTTGAATTGAGTGCAGTGGGGTGAAGTGTGGAACAGCGCCCCAGACACAAGAACCAGCATGTGCAGAAACATTACTTGAGGCTTAACCAAGAGTGTTCAGGGAGCCTCAGGTCTCCATTATGTCTAGCTTGGTCAGAGAGTAGTATTAAACTCTGGAATGGCACCTTGTGGAACTGGGCTTTTGTTTTGAGAATGGTGGGAGCCATGGAAGGTTTGGAGCAGAGGAGGGAGTCATCTGACTCTGGTCTTAACAGGCTTCCTCTGACTGTACAGTGAACAAGAGACTTTGGAGTGAGGAAGGAGCACTGTTTATGATGGCTGGACTAGACTGGATGCTCTGGAAGTGTGGGACAAATGCTTGGATTCTGGTCCCTTTTTTTGTTCGTTTTTGTTTTTCTTTAAGTAGGGTTAACCAGATTTTCTGATGTGGATGGTGAGAGAAACAATGGGAAGAGTCAGGGATGACTCCACAGCTTTCAAAGTTTTGGGCCTGAGCAGGTATAAGGATGGGAAAATCCTCCATTGAGATGGTGAAAAGTTTGGTGGTGGGAAGTAATACCAAGAATTTGGTGGTATTCAGAAGTAATACCAAGAATTAGGCTTTGTGGGGCGCCTGGGAGGCTCAGTCGTTAGGCGTCTGCCTTCAGCTCAGGTCATGATCCCAAGGTCCTGGGATTGCGTCCTGTATCGGGGTCTCTGCTTGGCAGGAAGCCTGCTTCTCTCTCTCCCTCTCCCACTCCCCCTGCTTGTGTTCCCTCTCTGGCTGTGTCTTTCCCAGTCGAATGAATGAATGAATGAATGAACGAACGAACGAACGAACATACATACATTCTTAAAAAATTTAAACTGGGGCGCCTGGGTGGCTCAGTGGGTTAAGCCTCTGCCTTCAGCACAGGTCATGATCTCAGGGTCCTGGAATCGAGCCCCACATCAGGCTCTCTGCTTAGCAGGGAGCCTGCTTCCTCCTCTTTTTCTCTGCCTGCCTCTCTGCCTACTTGTGATCTCTGTCTCTCTGTCAAATAAATAAATAAAATCTTTAAAAAAAAAATTTAAACTTTGACCATGTTGAATCTGAATGGAGGTATAGGTAGACAGCTGGACACATAGGTTTGGATTTTAGAGGAGGGATTCAAGTCCACAGGGTGACAGTCAGTATATGCATTAGAGTGGAGCTGCTTATCAGATTGATAGAGAGAATCTTATGTCATAGTGGCAGTGCCATTAAGGGTCTGGAAGGGGGTGGACACAGCAGCCTGAGACAGGAGTCACCTAAGAGAGAGGAGAAGGGAGATTAGTGTCCATGGTGGAGGGAGAGAGTAGGATCTGGCAGGTGGTGAAGTCTTCCAGAGAGAGCGTGGACAAGAGATGGGTGCTGGAGTAGAGCAGTGTTAGAGATGAGATGAAAGTGAGGCCAGAGCAGCTGCTTTCCTTTCTCGGTGTGCTTCCCAGGTATTTATAGTGATTTCGTGGGATGTGGAAAGTTTCAGTCAAGCTGGTAGATGAGCTCAGGGGCAGAGTGGGCCAGCTGGCAGAGTAACTATGCTTGTGGTAGAAGGACAGTGGATGTGGGCTTTGAATGAGAGTTTAGTGTTAAGTGTTAAGCCTGTTGATTGTTGAAAATATAGTATCCTTAGTATGTGACCACAAAGTCAGAAGGGGCTAGAATTATTTGGTATCTGTATGTTGTTCTGGATTGCTGAAGTTGAATCAAAAAATAGGGCCAGGAAGGGAGGATTTAAAAGCTGGGTTCATGGGGCACCTGGGTGTCTCAGTGGGTTGAGCCGCTGCCTTCGGCTCAGGTCATGATCCCAGGTCCTGGGTTCAAGCCCCACATCAGGCTTTCTGCTCAGCAGGGAGCCTGCTTCCTCCTCTCTCTCTGCCTGCCTCTCTGACTACTTGTGATTTTTCTCTGTCAAATAAATAAATAAAATCTTTAAAAAAAAATAAAAAAAATAAAAGCTGGGTTCAGAGGGCCCCTGGGTCGTTCCGTCATTAAGTGTCTGCCTTCCGCTCAGGTCATGATTCCAGGGTCCTGGGATCTAGCCCCACATCGGGCCCTCTCGGCAGGAAGCCTGCTTCTCCCTCTTCCACTCCCCTTGCTTCTGTTCCCTCTCTCAGTGTGTGTCTCTCTCTCTGTCAAATAAACAAATAAAATCTTAGGGAAAAAAAAAAAAAAAAGCTGGGTTCAGAGTTACATGGCAGTGAGGACCAGCAACTGGAGCCAGATGTGATCTTGGATGATTAACCAGGAATTCTCTGGATGCTGTTTGCAGATTTGCATGTGGGAGATGACCTATGTTGTGGGTATTCGTAGACTTGAGGGAGCTATGGTCTAAAGAGTGATGTGTACTGGAGATGGAATCTGAATTCGTACCCTGAGGGCTTTAGGGGGAACTCTGAGCTCATATTTGTATATGAGAGACATGATCTCTAGAACTCAGGGGAACTGGCTGGCAAAAGTTCTGTCCGTCCCCCTCCTGTTGTTCTGGGCTGGACAAAATGATTACTAGGAAATGGGGAGAGAGAGTAGGCACCAGTCACAAGGGCCTGGTATTTGGTCTAAGTTGGGGAGCTGGGGAGGAAAGTGAATGTGTGGTAGGTAGACCAAGAGTCCTGGGGAGAGCTGCTGCCCCTGTGCTCAGTCGTTGGCTTTATGCAGGGTCATGTGACTTTCAAGGATGTGTTTGTGTATTTCTCTTGGGAGCAGTGGGGGCTGCGTGAGAAGACCCAGAGACCTGTGTCACAGTGCAGTGTTTTCTATGCTTTGTGCTTACGGTCTTCCTGGGTAAGGCCCGCATACCCCAGTTTTCTGGGCTTTGCTCTACTCTTTCTTCCCTTAAAGGTTGCCCTTTTCTTCCCATAGCTGTCATAGGCACTGCTGTTTTCCTTCTCTAAGATAGATTTTCGGGCTGCTGAGGCTCAGCTGTGTATTGCCTCCTTTACTCCGTATGCTCCCCCACCCCTGCTGCCCCAGACTATTACCAGGAAGGGTTTGAGGGTCAGGGATTAGTAGTCAGCCCGGTGTACTACCCTGCTGCCCTTTCCCTGGCTGTATTGCTCTGCCTACATTCATGACACCTCTGTACTCTAGACTCTGCCCCTTTCCTGTAATTGGCATTTCCTTGGGCCTACCTGTGTCATGAATTGCTGTGATGGTCACTGCTGTGAGGCCCAGTGTGCTGATCTTGCAAAAACATTTCTGATGTTCGTTTTGTAATACTTAGTTGTCTTAATATCCCGTAGTACTGCTCTGGGCCACAGCTTTCCTCCTTGCCCTGTCTTTCCTCTATGATTTGTTTCTTCCAGATCCTTTGTGGTTCCTGAACTTAGTAGGGGAAAGAACTCAGTGCCTGAGAGGTCATGACTCTAGCCATGGCAGGAGGGACATGGACAGGCCCTGGTGAGTGGGCGCTTGGGGAGGGTGTAACTTCAGGGTTGGGTTCAAATAATACCAGAAGCCTGTCCTTTCCCCACTCCTATTTGGTGCCTAGGTTATAAACCGTACCTGTTTCTGTCTTTTTCTCCTCATTCTGGACATTCTACAAACTTGTCATTTTTTTTTTAATTTTTATTTTTTTAAATTATGAACATATAATGTATTATTTGTTTCAGGGGTACAGGTGTGATCCATCACACTTGTCATTTCTGGTCTGACCTCTGACCCAGGGCTGTCCACGCCCTCTCACCAGTGCTCTCTACTGCTCCTTCTGCAGTGCTCTCCTGTGTTGGACAGTGTTCACGTGCCATGAGACATACATATGTCCTTAAATGACTCCTGAATACCACTTGCTCATTTTAGATCCAATTTCCTGGGCTTAGACATACACTCTGTATAGTGCTCACCGGTAGCCAAGGCCCTTCTAAAAATCATTTGCAGAAGAGTAAATTGGACATTTCTGCTTCCCAGTTCTCTCTGAGCGCACCCTGTCCTTGTGTCTTTGTCCCTTGGGAAGTCTTCCTCATTCTATTACCGTTTGAGGCCCAATATTGCCAAGCAGCTTTTTCTTTAACCTGATGCCAAATCTGCTGTCCTGCCAACACCCCCATACACTAAATCCTGGGTATACTAGACACATCTGCAGTGGGGTTGCTCTTTCCCACCAAAGTCATCATGCACTTCAGTGGCATTTTTTCTGCCTTCAGGTTGTTGGTGTGCAGTGGAGGATGAAGAGGTGCCTTCTGAGCAGAGCATTTCTGTAGAAGTGTCACAGGATAGTATCTCCAAGGCAGGTTCATCAGCCCAGATGGCTCACCCTTGTGACACATGTGGCCCCGTCTTGAAAGATATCTTGCACCTGGATGAACACCAGGAAACACGCCAAGGACTGAAACCTTACACATGTGAGGCATGTGGGAGACAGTTCTGGTTCAGTGCAGACTTTCTTCAGCACCAGAAGCAGTACAATGTAGAGAAGCCCTTAAGAAGAGACAAAGGCAAGACCTCATTTATGAAGAACTGTAGAGTTTGTGAAGAACCTCACCTGTCAGAAAAGCCTTTACGATGTGAGGAGGAGAACTTCCAGGCCAGTTTGGGCAGTCACCAGCAAAAGGCCATCCACAGCAAGAAGAAGACAAGGAGCACCAAGAGCGGGGGGGCCTCTCATAGTGGACATACGCATTACAGGTGCAGCGAATGTGGGAAGGCCTTCAACCGCAAAGACACACTCGTCCAGCACCAGAGAATCCATACTGGAGAAAGGCCTTACGAGTGCAGTGAATGTGGGAAAGCCTTCAGCCGCAAAGCCACCCTTATCCAGCACCAGAGAATCCATACTGGAGAAAGGCCTTACGAGTGCAAAGAATGTGGGAAAGCCTTTAGTCGCAAAGACAACCTTACTCAGCACAGAAGAATCCACACTGGAGAAATGCCTTACAAGTGTAGTGAATGTGGAAAATACTTTAGCCATCACTCCAACCTAATTGTACACCAGAGAGTTCACAATGGAGCAAGGCCTTATAAGTGCAACAATTGTGGGAAAGTCTTCAGACACAAATCCACACTTGTTCAGCACGAGAGTATCCATACTGGAGAAAATCCTTATGTTTGCAGTGATTGTGGGAAATCCTTTGGCCACAAATACACCCTCATTAAACACCAGAGAATTCACACTGAGGCAAGGCCTTTTGAGTGTGTCGAATGTGGGAAATTCTTTAGTCGAAGCTCTGACTTTATTGCACACCAGAGAGTTCACACAGGGGAAAGGCCGTTTGTGTGCAGCAAGTGTGGAAAAGATTTCATCAGAACATCTCACCTTGTTAGGCACCAAAAAGTTCACACTGGAGAAAGGCCATATGAGTGCAATGAATGTGGGAAAGCCTATAGTTTAAGCTCCCACCTCATTCGGCACCAGAAAGTTCACACTGCAGGGAGGCTGTAGGCAGGCTTTCAACGCACCGGGACTCATAGGGAGAGGAGCTCTGCGAGGACCCTTTGAGAGGAGGACATCAGTGAGGTGTTGTTCCTCCTACATCAGCGTTGACACCTGAGATGGGTTATGAATGCCAGGTACAGGGAAGCTCTCGTGGGTCGCGTTGCACTTTGAGACAGGTCCTTGCCAGATTTGTCACTCTGTGCCTGCGGCTAACACCGTCTCCGCTGTCAGCTCGCTTACCATAATGTCCTCAGGGAAGGTAGAATCCTGAATTAAATAGGAGCTCTCATTTCTCCCCCCACTGACTGATTAAAGGTGTGGACCTTACTGTACATCCTTAGCCAAGAGGATCTGAGCTGTGTTCTGGCTTACAGAAAAGGTTTACTTTCTTCCTGGACACTGTTGGTCTCATGTGGTACTTGTGACAGATTTTCCAGTCTCCAAGTCACTCATCCTGGAGAACTACTTGTCTTACGTTGCTCTGGTTTCTGTGATAATAAAGACCTTGTTATTATTTAAGCCATCGTTAATCTTGGACATTGTTTTTACTGTTTGGAATGGTTTAAAAACCCTTAGGCCCTGGCGCCTGGGTGGCTCAGTGGGTTAAAAACCCTTAGGCCCTGCCAGACTGAAGAGATAAACAGTGGAGGGGGGGAATCCTCCAGTTTCCTGTGCCTCAGATGGAAGAGCAGGTTGGCAGAGAACCTTTCTCAGTCCAGTTCTGGTGTTGCTGACAAAAGCTTCTTAGGCGAGAGTTCAGGGCCTGATTTTGGCTGGATTTCAGAGTTATTTGAGGGCGGAGACATCACCCTGAGGGTGGTATGGAGGAAGGTTGTGACAGCCTTCAATATGTTGGGCAGCAGCATGCAGTGAATGACTTATTTCCAGGATATGTGCCATATTCCACAGCACTGTTGAGGGGAAGCTTTTCTGCGAACCTGCCAAGCGCCATATGCCCTGAAGGCCAGAATCTGATCTGGTGCCCAAGTTGGCTGCAAGACTTGCCATCCCGGGAAGGAAACAAAACCGATATAGAAACACTGGGTGTGAATAATTGGGTTTGGGGAGACTGCAGCAAATGAGAGTGGATGTGCCCATTAAAAAAAAAAAAAAGCCACAAACACTCCTGGCACTGTGGCTGTATGAGATGGGGCTGCCTGGGAATTCTTAGCATCTCCAGGGCCATGTCACTGTAGCACCAGCGTCAGTGGCAGAGCAAAGAATGTCAAGTTTATAGATTTCTGTACCTCCGTGGGCTCTATACCTAGTGTCTTTGCTACATGGGCAAAGAACTCTGGGATAGACATTGTGGTCCAAGGATGTAGATTTTTTGACCAACCAGAGCTTCTGGTGACTCACTTGGAAACAGCCTTCAGTGCTTTCCAGTTTTTCTTGTTGCTGGAGAAGAGGTTCTTTTTACAGGGCATTTGGAGAAAGAAGGTAGAGTCACTGTATTGATGCTTAATCTGGTTTTCCAGTAGAAGCGGGAGACCCAGGTGTTGCAGTGGAATCAGTTTTTACAGTTTCACTGAGGGGTAGTCAACATGCCATATACTGCACATACATGAAGTGTGCAATTTGTAATCCTTAATATCTGTATAAACGTAAGAAATCACCCAGCCGTTGTATTGGGCATATCCACTTCCAGAGTTACCTCATGGCCCTTCTTAAATCCCTCTCAGTGCCTTTCTTGATACTTCCTATCCCTTCCGTGAACAACCACTGATTCACTTTCAGCATAGATGAATTAGTCTTTTCTAGACTCTTATGTAAGTGGTACCTTAGAAGTTTATTAGGGGCCACTGTCTTTCAGGCAACATTATTTGGAGAATCATTGTGTAAATAGTTCATTCTCTTCATTACCGAGTAATCCTCTGGATATCCTGCGGTTATATCCCTTTATCTTCTTTGTGTGTGTGTACAAAATGCCGGTTTTATTGAAGCTTGGGGACAGGACCCGTGGGCAGAAAGAGCTGCCCTTTATCTTAATTGACAGCCCCCCACCTTGCAAATTCTAAGTATTAAAAACAGCTACTGCAGGGGCGCCTGGGTGGCTCAGTGGGTTTAAGCCTCTGACTTTGGCTCGGGTCATGATCCCAGGGTCCTGGGATCGAGTCCTGCATCCGGCTCTTTGCTCAGCGGGGAGCCTGCTTCCCCCTCTCTCTCTCTGCCTGCCTCTCTGCCTACTAATGATCTCTGTCTGTCGAATAAATAAATAAATAAAAATCTTTAAAAACAGCTATTGCAAATATTAATGTACAAGTCCTTATGTGGACACTCAGCTGAGGAAATTTCTAAAAGCATTGAAAGTGTGGCCTTGCTTAATTGTTAATGGTAAAATGTGATAGGGAAGAGAAACGTAGGGAAGAACTATTACACAGAAAGGACCCCAAGATTTATGATTTGGGAAATTCTTATTCCATCTTAATTGCAGAAGACATTGAAATGTAGCTATACAGCCTTTTGTAGTATCTCAGCAAGATCCAAAGACAAGGGTATTTATTCATGTAAAATTTCTTTGAAGAGATTGTGACTATGCAGATCTCCTCAGTACAACCAGAGACCATCTAGGAAATTTAAAGGTATCCCTTGGCCATCTCAGCAAAAGCCAAAAAATTGATAGAGGATTATCCAGGGAAGGTTGCGGTGGGGAAATGTGTGAACCAGCCTCTTGTCTAATGGAGTGAATCTCTGTGGTATATACAGAGGAACCACAAAGTTCTTGAAAATTCCTTTCTACGAGAAACACCTTGGATCTTAAAGGGACAGAATATGAAATTGGGACCTTCAATATTCTGCACACATGAAACCAGCTAAGAAAATTACTAACCTGCAAACCTTTGTTACCTGTCATCGAAAAGGAGGTGGAGGACAGTAGAACACAGGATGGGGACCTGAGGCCAGAGTCGTGAACCATAGAAGGTTTTCCCAGGCTTTGATACCTCATGTAGTTTGCTAAGCTTTATTTCAGAATTTCTTGGAACTTGTGGCTACTTTTTCATTTTCCCCCCTTGAAACAATGTATATAACTATTATCCCATTTCTCTTCCACTGTCTTATTTTGGGAGCAAATACCTCCTCTTCTAGCTTTACAGATCTGCAGACAGAGAGGGTGTGTGCGGGGTGGACTATATCCAGAGCCTTGGCCATATCTGATTTAGACAGTTAAGGTGATGAGATTTGGGATTTGGGGGCTGATGAGATTTGGGTATTGAGTGGCTACTGTAATGGAATGAGACATTTTGTGATCTTGGAATGGGTGGAATATATTTTCCAAGCAGGACAGATAGGAATCTGAGGACCAGACAGCAGACTGTGGTAAATGGGATCACCGCTCCCAAAGATGTTGGTGCCCTAATCCCCAGGACCTGTGAATGTTCCTGTAGATGGCAAGGGGGGCTTTGCATGAATAATGCACTTCGTGATGAGACTTACCCGGAGGCCTCAATCTAATCACAAAAATTATTTTTATTTTTTTAATTTTTTTAAAAGATTTTATTTATTTGACAGAGAAAACACAAGCAGGGGGAGCAACAGGCAGTGGGAGAGGGAGAAGAGGTTCCCTGCTGAGCAAGGAGCCCGATGGGGGCTCGATCCCAGGACCCTGGCATCATGACCTGAGCTGAAGTCAGATGCTTAACGGACTGAGCCACCCAGGGGCCCCTCACACGAGACTTTAACAATAGAGAACCTTTCCAGCTGTAGGAAGAAAGAAACAGGAAAGTCAGACAGGGCTGTATCAGGCCCTTTGATGTCCCATTGCTGGTTCTGAGATAATAGCTAAGAGCTAAATTGAGCACCACACCTCTGAGAGCCCAGCATCTTCAGTCCTGGCTCAGCAAGATCAGAGTATCGAGTAGTCCCACAAAGAGCCCTTTGAAAAAATTGTTTGACTTTACAGATCACCTCATCACAACCAGAAAGCACTCTGGAAGCTTAGAAACAAACCTTAGTCCTACAACCATGTGGAACTGAATTCTGCCAACAGCACCTACCAGTAGGAATCCAAGTTCCCAGAGCCTCCAGAAAGCCAGCCTGCCATCTTCGGGAGCAGCTGGAGCCCCAGGGGCTGGGGGAGAGCCCCAGTGGCCAGGGCACTGCATCAAAGGTGTGAAGGAGCTGGAGCCTGCCAGGGTAGGACTTGCCTGCAGAGATGCTTTGGTTCAGAGGGAAAGGAAGCCAGAGCCTTAAATCCTGACCTGCTGGCTCAGAGGTGGGGTGTCGGGGGGTACCCAGGCAGAGTCCAGAGAGCACTCTGGGCTAAGTGGCTGTACCTGTCTGGGCTCTCTGGCCCCCAGGCACCAGCTTCTGCTGCCTCCCACCTCTGCAGTCCCTAGCAGCCCAGCTTTGGGGCCTTCCATGTGCCCTGTTGGCCCAGCCTAGGAATTCCCTCCTCACCTAATGGCTCCTTGGCAGCAGCACTGACTCCCTGGACCTCTTGCACTATCAAGACACCCAGCCCTAGTGGCTGTCCAGGCCCTGTTGGCCCTCGGCAACCTGCTCCCTCCATGGCCCATCCTCTGTGCTGACATCTGAACCCCCATCCCCATGCTCTCCTCCTGCCCCTCCCCGCCCCCACCACGTCCTCAAGGCTACTTCTCTCACCTCCTTATGCACTGCTGCCTCCTCTGCCCCAGGCCCCGTTACCCACCTCCTACCATCTGGTCTGAGGCTGCAGGCTGCAGACCCCTGGGCCCTATCCCTGGCATCTCGAGTTTTAGCTTCTCTCTGCCTGCTAAGACTGCTGCAAAATCATTCCTTCTCTGGGGCCCCTGGGGACTCAGTGGGTTAAGCCTCTGACTTCAGCTCAGGTCATGATCACAGGGTCCTGGGATCCAGCCCCACATCAGGCTCCCTGCTCAGTGGAGAGTCTGTTTCTCCCTCTGCCTTCTGCTCCCTCCCCCTGCTCATGCTCTTTCTCTCTCTAAATAAAATCTTTTTTTTTTAAAGGATTTTATTTATTTATTTTACAGAGATCACAAGTAGTCAGAGAGGCAGAGAGAGAGAGGGGGAAGCAGGCTCCCCGCCGAGCAGAGAGCCCGACGTGGGGCTCGATCCCAGGACCCGGAGACCACGACCTGAGCCGAAGGCAGAGGCCTAACCACTGAGCCACCCAGGTTCCCCTCTAAATAAAATCTTAAAAAAAAAAAAAAAAAAAAATCACTCTCTCTCCTTCACCCTATGACACAGAGGAAACACTGAAGTAAGAAGTGTAATCTGGGTGAGAGGAAGTGTTCCAAAGGGCCCAGGAAACTGTGGACCTCTGGGTAATGAGATCATACTGGGGTTTGAGGGAAACCCTAGGATGTGCAATACAATACAATACAAGAGGGCTGCTTCTCACTCATGGGTACTAGGTAGGGGCTTTTCCCATCACAAGTGTACCTAATTCAGGGTGAGTTCTAAGGGAGGAGGTATTTTCCTGGGCACTTAAATGATTCTCCAGGAACAAGTGAAAGTCACCCTCTGGGCAGATGCTCAAGTCTTTCCATCAGAAAGACAGCTCTCAGATGGTGAAGGTTT